TCAGGTTTCAGGGGCTGAGTCTGTCTTCATGATGTCCACTGTCAGCAGGTTGACTGACACCTGGGTAGGCCACACCCAAGGGCACAGTAAGAGGAGGGGACACACACAAGGCACTTCCATGGAAGATTCTATCCTAAGCAGGGCAAGGGGTTATATTACAAAGGAACAGGTGAACATAGCTTCACCCATGGGGCTGTAGGAAGACACACCCATTTCTGTGACTGAGCGCCTCAGCACCCAGCTGGGGAGTGTAACTCAGTCACCTTAAGGTTGGCCTCCCACATTATGCTAGTATATTACTCTTTATTTATTTATCCTTCAAACACTTGTTATTGAGTATATACTATGTCATTCCATTAAGTACCAATTCTTAGGTAATTTGTAAAAATGATTTCATATCCTGATATCTCAGAAATGCATACCATATGCACATTGAGAAAGGAAGTACAGGGGCTGGGGTGGTGGCTCAGAGGGAGTGTGCCCGTCTAGCATGCCTGAGGCACTGGGTTCCTTCCTCAGCACCACATAAAAATAAAATAAAGATATCATGTCCACTATAATTAAAAAAATAAATTATTTTAAAAAGGAAGTACAGAACATCTCATGTTTGATCATTGCTATGAAGGAGGATGGAGATGTAGGGTTCTGAGCTGAGAGCCCCACTGAGTCACTGCACTGGAGTAAACATATGAGTGAGGCCAATGGACAGAGGGGAAGGTCTCTGCTGGGACAGACTCTGGGGTAAGGAGCAGGAAAGGTCAACACCCTGAGGAGGGGGCAGCCTGGCAAGTCTGAAGCTGAATCAGGAGACTGTCATGGAGCCGAGAGGAAATGGGCAGTCCCAGGGATGGAGTCAACTAACAAGGACCCTACACCTAGAGCCTCAAAGCACCAGGGAACTTGGCTGAAGGAGACTGGACGTCCTGGGAGACTCTGAGCCACAAGGGACTGGAGCCACGGGCTCTGGAAATGGATCCACGTGGTGCCACGTGCAGAAGAACTTCTCACAGGGATTGACCAAAAGCCGAGAGACTAGTCATGACCTGCTCTCATCACACAGCTCAGAAATTCTTTTAGCTTGAGCCAAAGTGCTACAAAGAGAAGTGGTCAGCCTTCCAGATGTTCTGATTTTATACCCAACATCGCTGCTTGTGGATTCTGTGCAGGAAGGTTTGGGAGAGCAGGGCAGTCAGGACACACTTTCCAGACAGGGAGAAGGGGAAATGCACATGGTGTCCAGGCAGGAGAAGGCCTCACCAATGACCCAGGGGTCACTCTGCTGTCTTGACAGAGCAGGGAGGAGGTCGCCGTCTTAAGACCTCTCCCTCGATCTGATCTGTGTCTACTTCATGTTTTCCAGGCATCTGTGGGGACTGGAAGAATCACTTCACAGTGGCCCAAGCTGAAGCCTTTGATAAATTTTACCAGGAGAAGATGGCGGGTTTCCCCAAAGGGCTGTTCCCATGGGAGTAATGTCCTCCCCAAATGCCAGATTTTATATGGATACTGACATTGGTTTCCCATCCTTGGACATGTATACATCTTGATGGTTCTTAAGATAAAACACATTTCTAAAAGGAAGGGGGAAGGAAGGTTAGGTAACATAAACAGCCAGTGAAATATAAAATGATAGATGAGAAAAAGGAAGTCTAGTCCTATAGAGAAAGGACAATGGGAGAGGGAGGGTCCTGGCAGGGAAAGTGGGATCATGCACTAAAATGGATTCCCATGCACCAAGGAGTTTTTCCAAATGAACCCAACATATGTGTACGTACAAAGCTGTGACAAAAAATTTAAAATGTGCTTCTTCATTCTGGAGTCTTGAATCATACATTCTTGTTTCTCTGATCACTTGCTTGTAAAAATTACTGGGACTTCAATATTCACTTCATCACATCCTAGCCCTTAAAATAGTCTTTGTAGTATTTCAAACACACAGATGCTTACAAAAATAATATGAATATTACCCACCATGGTGTCTACATTTAAATGAAGAAATACAATTCAGGAGTAGTTAAGGTTCCTTTTCTGTCACATGTGTCACCAGTATTTATGATGATGATGATGTAGAGGAGTATAATTTCCCACCTGTGTTTGTTTTAATTCCTGGTGTGTGTTACAGCATCAATCCAAAGTGGTATGAATAAAACTTTTAATACTTACATAAATGGTGAATGGTGCAATATATTCATAGACTCTCATTTCTACTCAGCATTAAGAGATGGTTTTATGTGAGCTGACATGTATAGAGTCGTTCCGAATTGAATTGAGACTTGGGACACAGTTGAATCACCTGTTCTGCTGTCAATGACTCTGGGTTTGTCCCTCACCAATTCTCCCACATTTAAAGCAGTGTCTGGAAGCATGAGAAAAACAAAGGTAGGAGGTGTCCTAGGACGTACCTTTAGTACTGAAGACTGGTAACTTATTGGCCTGTTATGGGTGATACCAAATATTTCTCCAATAATCTTGTAATAAATGTAATATTTAAATAAACTTTTTTGCCACTGCCTGCTTTGAGTTTGGTGTGAAATTCACTAATTTGGAGGACATGCAGCTGAGCTATATAGTATTGGTCTCCCATTTCAAGGTGTTGAAGACTTTGAATTTGAACAGAAACTTTTTAACTGCCAAAAAAAGGCATGGGGTCATGACTCTGACATAGTGGCAGGCATTGACTTCCTCAATAATACACCTAAAATTTAGAAAATAGAACAAAGATTAACAGAAAGATACTAAATTAAAAGATTCTGCACAGCAATGCAAGCAAGTATGTGAAGTAAGATACTAAAGAATGGGAGAAGATCTTTGCCAGCTACTCTTCTGACAGAATGTAATAAGAACTCAAAAAAAAAAAACTTAACCCAAAAGTAGAATTATTATTTAAATACATGACAGTGGAATGCATTACATTTCTTATAATCAATTAATTATTTAAAAAACCATGATTTTGCCAATCAATACATGGGCTAATAACATTTTCCACTAGAAGAAATACAGATGGCCCACAAATATATGAAACAATATTCAATATTCTTATCAATCAATGTAATGCAAATAAAAACCAATAAGAATTTATCTTCACTTAGAATATTAAGTATCAAGAATAATAATAAATTCTGGTGAAGTCATGGGAGAAGTGAATCTTAGGCACTGTTGGTGCAATTAGAAGTTAGCACAACCAGTATGAGGATAGAAATGGAGATTCATCAAACACTAGGAATGGTACCACTACATTCCTCAGCTCTATCTGTGGTATTATTCAGAAGAATTCTAGTCATCAAACTATACAACAGTAAATTCACACCCAAGTTTATACCAGTGAGATTCACAATAAGTAAGTTAAGGGAATCAATTAGTCAACTGATGAGTGCATAATAAATGTGGTATATATTCATCAGGAAGCTTTGTTCAGCCAAAAAGAGGAACAAAGTTTTGCCATTTGCAGGAAAATGGATAAAAATGGAAAACATTTTTTTAAGTATAGTAAGACAGACTTAGAAAGACAATGGTCATATATTTCATATCATATGTAGAAGGTTGAAAGAAAAAAGAAAATAGCAGAGATAGTACAAAGGTAAATAAAAGAGACAGGAGAGTCTTGGGAATGAATCACGGAAGGGAGGAGTGGGTGGAAGGGGAAAGCTTGGTCCAGCAGTGAAGCAGACCTCATTACGCTCTGCGCGTGCGTGAAGACATCACCACAAGACCAAGTATTCTGTGCAATCCTAATGCACAATAGATCCCTCTGTGTGGGCTGCTTGGATAACTCTTTCCAATGCCTTTATGTTCGCGATGTGGGAAGGTTTTCCAATTGCTCATGGAAAAACTTAAACAAATACACATATTTTGTTTATAGTATGTTTAGTTTGATAGAAATCCCTGTGATGCTGTTTGAATGAAATAGAATTTGATTGTCATTTCTGCCGCTGAGTAATATCGTAATTTTAATTACAAATTTTACAGATGCTCTCTCTGTGGTCATCTCTCTGGATTCAACTGTTAGCTTCTATATTTACTATACAGTGAACACTGCTCTGTGCCCTACTTTCCTTTACATAAAGCAATTACAATAGAAACTTACTCATAAATTGGTTGTACTATACATGATATAATGTGGCAAGCAATAAAACAATATCTAGGTAAAAAAAAACCCCAAACTTCATACAGCATGCAAATGTATGAATGCAATTTATTGATGGATAAACTTTGCCCTAAAAGTTAATCAAACATTCTAAGTTCTCCCTGCTGGTAAATATGTGTTGGGGATCAAAATTTCACGTCATCTTATTCTGGCATGAGCTAAGTCTTATGACATTGTTGTTGTGTGGACAGAATTTACTGATTTTTTTTGTGGGTCTTGGTATCTATCCAGGTAAAACTGTATTTTATTTATGGAGAGTGAACAGTGTTGATGCCTAGTGGATTCCTCCAGAAAAGCATGTGAGAACAATTACTGAGATTTATATTGTGCATAATTTTGTCTGGACCCTTTATACTGGATAGACAGCTTGGCTGGGTATAGAGTTGTTGGTGCAGAGGTAGGGTTGGCTCAGTGGTAGAGCACTCATGGAGCATGTGTGAGGCCCTGGGCTCGGTCCTCAGCACCACATAAAAATCAATAGATAAAATAAAGGTATTGTGTCCAACTACAACTAAAAATAAATGTTAAAAAACTATTGGTGCACACACTTATATGAATAGTTTCATAGCATTTCCCTCATATTTATCTACCAATGAACGTTGCTGTGACATATTCGATAATCTGATAAAATTGGTAGCTAAATGTCTGTTAAGTGTTGAATGGAAAAATAGAGTGTGACACATATAAGTAATGCAATCTGGTCAGTCTAAGGAAGGCAGGCAATGCTATTTCTTATGGCAGCATGGATGGACATGCAGGACATTATAAGTGACATCAATCAGTCACAAAAAAGCCCACACTACACTTGTAATGGCATATAGAGAAGATGACATCGGAACAGCGGAGTGGTGCTTAACAGACACAGGGATGGTAAGGAGCAGAGGACGAGGAAGTTTGGTCAGTGGGTACAATTTTACAGGTAGACTGGAGAAATATGTCCTGGTGTTCCATGGCACAGTTTGCCATATGGTCAACAATAATGCACCATATGTGTCCAATTAGTTAGAAGTTAGAAGTAAGGGTTATTTATAACTTTCTCCTTTGGGAAAGCTTAGAGTTATCAGGTGCTTCAAGCTACATAATTTTACTTGGATATGAATTAGCATTCACTATTCAGGGTAAATGTTTCCCTTTAAGGTTTGCTCTATGGATATATCAGGATAAGATCTTTTTTTTTACTTCTTTCATACATGACAATAGTGGAATGCATTATCTTTGTTATCTTATGAATTTTCTCTTGTTGAGAAACTTTGGGTTCTTTTTTAGAAATTGCAATTATTTCTGTGTCTGTCTTCTATATATAATCACTTTCTAAAAGGGTGTTTATTTTTAAACATAGTTTTCTTTTCTTCTTGCATCACTATGTTTATATTCCTTCTTAAATTTGATGATTGTGAATATGGTGGCAGTCCTTTGAATCGCATCTTCATTTATGATGAATTTTAGTGCTTTTACCTGTTTCTAACTTTAGTTCTATAGGTTTCTGCATAATATCCTTCTGTTGAAAGGGTCAGAGTTTGAGGTAATTGGGGTAATACTTGCCTTTGTTCTCAACAGTGAGGGGAACTTATTCAGATTGTGGCTATGTAAATCCAGAGAGAGGGGAAGAGGGAATGGAGAGAGAGGATGGAGGGAGGTAGGGAAGGAGGAGAGGGGCTAGAGATGGGAGAGAGGGGAACATGGTGGGAGGAAGGGAGGGAGAGAAAGAGAGAGAGAAAGAGAAAGAGAGAGAGAGAGAGAGAGAGAGAGAGAGAGAGAGAGAGAATATGAATATAGCTATGATAATACAGGAATTCATGGGTCATTATTTGTAGTCAGCCCAAATTACTGACCTATCAACATCATGAAGGAAAGGGTTTACTGCTTGTTTAATTTTACCAAAAATAAATGCCATGGCAGGCAAATTGTATAAAGCAAGACATTCTCCATGGTGCTACCTCTTAGTTGTCCATATTCAGAGCTTGGATATAGTGAGTGGCTGTAAGAGGAGCCTGAATTAACAATGAAGACTGCCTTCAGGCCTCTGATCACATCCTGGACCACACAGGTACAAGACAAAGGAAAAAGCTACACCAAGCCCAGATAATCAGCACATTAGAAGTTCTTAAAGAAGGAAACTCATCATTACTTGAAAACAGAACAGTCACTGGAATAAATTCATTCACTTCACTCTCAAAAAGGCCCAGAATTTGAGGCCAAGCTCTTGGGGAATGAGAAGGATTGAGGTTCTTCAGCTAGGAAGCCAAGGAAGATGGGAGGCTCTCACCACAAAGCCAAGAGAGGGAGCCCAGGTGCTGAAGGAAGAGAGCAAGGGAAGCAGCACTGGGCTGGGAGTGGGCAGAAGGCACCAGAACCGGAGACCTGTAGGTGGCGCTCCCGAGGCCTGTTTGGCCCATTGTCTTACTTCACTTTATTTTGCTGTATTTATTTTGCTGTATTCAAGATGAGATAACTTGGGTACATTGATGTCAAATTATCCTTTTATTTCAGGTCCATTTACATATGTTTTAAAAGTTCTAAACATAGCACTTGTTTTTTTATGCTGTAAAAACCACTGGAAATGAAAATAAATCTATTAGAAATTTCACTCTTCCAGATCATCATCATAATAAATTCAGGAGACACAAGTAATAGAAAGGAACCTCAACTGGTTCTATGATTTATTTCTTGTTTTAAAAATGAGACACAATGGTGGGATATTCATTTTATTTTTGTAGGCCTCTATGTGTTTGAAATATTAGGAAGATTATTTAAAAGCTAGGATGTGGTGAAGTGAATAGGGAAATGCTAGTAGTTTTCAACAGGCAAGGGATTAGAGAAGAAAAACATATAATTCAAGTAAGCAGAATGGCAAATTGTTGGGTTTTTTTGACACAGCTGTATTGTTATACATAGTGTTGAGTTCTTCCGTAAAAAGTCATCCATGCAATCAATTTTATGTCACGATCCCTCTTTCTCTCCTGGGCACCCCCTTACCCATTCTCCTTCCTCTGACCGACTAGACTTCCTTTTGCTCATCTATTATTTTACATTTCATTGGTTCTTTATGTTATCCTATCTTTTCATTCCCTTTCTCATAGAAATGTTTTTTATATTAAGAACCTCCCAATCCTGTAAATATCTCAAGACAGGAAACAATGTCAGTATCCATAAAAGATCCAGAATTTTTGGACACTACTCCCATGGGAACAGCTCTTTGGGGAAACCCGCCATCTTCTCCTGGTAAACCTTATCCAAGGCTTCAGCTTGGGCCCCTGGGAGGTGATTCTTCTAGTCTTCATAGATGCCTGGAAAAGATGAAGTAGACACAGATCAGATCTAGGGAGAGGTCTTAAGATGGCGACCTCCTCCCTGCTCTGTGTAGACAGCAGAGTGACCCTGGGTCATTGGTGAGGCCTTCTCCTGCCTGGCCAACATGCGCATTTCCCCTTCTACCTGTCTGGAACATGTGTCCTGACTGCCCTCCATTTCCAAAGCAATCTGTTCAGAATCCATACGCAGTGAGGCTGGGTGTAAATCAGAAGATCTGGACTATAACTAAGTCTGACCACTTGGGTTTGAGCACTTTGGTCCAAACCAACAAAATTTCTGACCTGGTGATCAGAGCAGGTCACAGCTAGTGTTGTGCTTTAACTCTTCTCTGTGAGAAGTTCTTCTGCACATGGCACCATGTGGATCCATTGGCAGAGCCAGTGGCCCCAGTCACTTCTGGCTCATGTCTCCCCAGATTTCCAGTCTCCTTCAGCCAAGTTCCCTGGTGATGTTGAGGCTCTAGGTGTAGGGTCCTGGTTGATTCAGACTCCATCCTGGGACTACCCATTGGCTCTCTCTTCTCCATGACACAGTCTTCTGATTCAGCCTCAAGCTTGCCAGGCTGCTCCCTCCTCAGGGTGTTTACCTTTCATGCTCCTCAACAGAGTGCTGTCCTAGCAGACACATTATGCCATGTCCATTAGCCTAACTCAACTGTTGACTCCAATGCAGTGACTCAGTGGGGCTCTCAGTTCTAACCACACAAATCCATCCTTGCTGACTTCACAGCAATGACCAAAATGATATGTTCTATGCATTTCCTTTTTGAATGTTCATATGGTATGCATGTCTCAAATATTAGGACATCTAAAAAATTTATAAACTATATAAGATTTAATACTTCAAGGAATGACACAGTAAATGTTTAAGAAACAATTTTTAAAATGATTAAAAGGACCATGGAATTTGATAGATATCATTATCCAAAGTATGTGTATGAAGACACAAATTGGTTTGAACATACTTTATATACAACCAGAGATATGAAAACTTGTGCTTTAAACGTGTAATAAGAATTGTAATGCATTCCGTGTCATTTATTTAAAACAAAAAGAATGAGTAATATACTAGCATAATACCCTGTTTTACAGAACAGAGTTTAAACAATGCCCTGTCAGGGTTACCCTGTGGGAAAGTGGTGGGGGTCAAATGGAAGCTAAAGTTACGTGCATAAGTCAGACGCTTTCCTTATCTGATTATAGTGCCATTTTATGTATCATAGGAATTCATTTTCACATAGCAGGCCAATCAAATTAATTAACAGAAAATATAACAATATCTGTTGTATATGCATGTAAACATTATACTCATATGAATATAAACAGGAATGTCTATTATGTAATTGTTATCCTATAACCACTGATTCTTACGCCCATGTTCATTGATACATTCGTCATTAGAACAAGCTTTCTTGACTTCTTCTGCTGGGAATGGGCTCTCCCCCTGAGGAACACCCCTAGCCCACTCCTGTTTTATGGCTCTGTGCTCAGCCTCACTCTGTGGCAAGAATCCTGATCTTTTGAATATCTTGTGAAGCATTTAGTATAAAAACTCCATGGATTGCCATTTCAGATACATGTGAACTGGGTGAATTTTGGAAAAACTGGTTCTGTGAGTACATGCAGTAGACATTTTCAAGACATGAAACTGAAGTGTAGATATAATTCATCTTTCTTCACAGGAAGGAGGCCTTCCAATGTCTCATAACAAATGACCCAGTCCCTACTTCACCTATTGGCTCATTCTCTGTGTATCTCTTCTTTAGGGCAGTTCTCTATGGTAAGTCACTAGTGGTGTGGCCCAGACATGACCATCTCCAAGACGCACTCTCCTCCCCTGGAGGAATCGGCTGTCTCCAGGGACGGCAGCCCCTCCCAGAACCGTGGAAACATTTTCCCACAAGGCACATGAGAGGTTTCCTGGGTTATGAATCACTCAAGTCAATATGTTCAAACACCCTAACCCTAAGGGTCTGGTGGGAAACACCAGAATTCCCTCCAAGTATTCTCACACATTCTGAAACCAGAGCTTTTACCTTTTCTTGTAATTTTGAAATCCTTATCAACATAAGTTTCAGGCAACGTTTCTAAATTGGACATCTTGTTTTCTTTCATGACATGGAAGGAGCTATTCTTGAGGACTGAGTCCAGTTCTTCTGGATTTAACTTCTTTCCCAGGAACTGACAGATCTCCTCTATGGTGCTTCTTGGGTCCTAAAAGGTGAACAACAAAGAGCGAGTCGATGAGAGGGAATCACAGTGGAGAAGGGAGGACAGGAACGAAGGTGTTAGGAGGGCTGGGGGATGGGGGGAGAGGAGAGGAATGACATCAGGACGAGAGGAGACTGCTATGGGTGACAGAAGGAGGGAGAAACAGAAAGGGGTTTTTCTTACATTGCTTAACAATTCTGAAAAAATTTCTAGATACTTTAAATTACATTAATTTATTATGTAATTTAAATGTATTAATTACATTTGGTGCTCTTAAACTCACATCCAGAAGTGGACATCTATGTGCAAGTCAGTGTGCCATTCCTCTACGATAACAGAAAAATAAAGTTAGAATGAGTATCTATTCAATGTGTGACATCCAATCTGTAAAGTAGCACATCCACGAACTCAGACATAAATCATTGATTTAGTTGAAAACATTCAAAATCCTCCTCACTTGCTATTTTGAAATGCATTATTGATTATCATTGTTTATAGTGGCCACGCTGTGCTACAGGTCATTAGAAGTCATTTCTGTTACCCGGCTGTACCCGGCACCCAGCCCACCAGTGCCGAGCTTCATCTGTAAGCCATTGGGATTACTCCAGCCCCTGACCTCTCACAAGAGTTACACAAAGTGACATCTCTCCTTCATCTCACCTGGCCAGTCAAGGGGAGAAGCCAGACAGGTGGACACAACTCTGGGATTAATGCTTTCTACCCAGTCCCTTCTGATGGTGAGGTTTCTGTGAGCATCATAGGTCCTGCACACAGAAACCTTGGCAGCCACAGGTGCTAGCATAAGCCGTTGCCCTCTGCCTGGGTGTGTGTAGGGCCCTTGAGATGTTGCCAGATGGAAAGCTTTGAAGACATGAAAGAAGAGCCTGGATTTGGGGGCAGATCAATGAAGAAACGGCAATGGAGACCAAGGGCTCATCTCCTCTTAGTGACCCTTAAGAGCTACAATTTACAGAAAGTTGGAGAGCAGATACTGAGGACCATGGACATTAGAGGCAGCAAGGATGGTCAGGAGCTGGCGGGTGCTGATCTGACAGGTGCTCACCTTCTGCAGCTCTTCATAACTCAGCAGCAGGACGTTCTCCCTGTCTCTCATGGACATCCAGCCACGAATGTGCTCAAACCATGATCCATAGGGCACTGTGGGGCAGGCACAGGGGTGCAGGTGACACACTGCTGAAACAGGGCTGTGCCATCCCTGTCACTCTAACACCCTGACAGCTTGATTCATGTATAATTGACAAATACTCCTCAAACAAGGTGATGAAATAGAGAGGGGAACATTTCTGAATTCATTCTATGAAACCAGTAGCATATTTACCCAATGCAGACAAGATATCAGGTAAGAAAACAACAGCCCAATATTCCTATGAACACAGATACAAAACCTTATTAAAATGTTAGCACATTCTATTAAGAGTATACACAGGGCATGGTGTGTTGACACTTTAGGATTATACTTTAAGGCACGTTGATTTCATCCCAGGGATGTAAGTCTGGTTCACCTTATGCAAATTCATAAATGTATTTCACCACGTCAGTAGATTTTACCTTGAGAGAAGAACATGGCTGATCATCCTAAAGGCTACATGTGACAAACCCAAAACAAACATCATGCTAACCTGGGAAAACTGGAAGCATTTCTCCTAAAACCAGGAACAAGGCAAGGATGTGCACTCTTACCACTCATTAAACCGAAGTTTGGGAACTCTAATCAGACAAGTCAGGCAAGAGAAGGAGATCAAGATAATACAGTTGGAAAGAATGAAGCCAAATTATCAGTGTTTGCACATGATAGCATGCTATGTTTGAGGACCCCTAAAGCTGCCCCCAAAACCTTGTAGAACTGATACCACATTCAGCAGAATAGGAAGATACAAGATCATCATAGAAAAATCCCTAATAATAATGAATCTGCTGAGGAAGAAACCAAAAATACAATTCCACTCACAATGGTCTCAAAAAATACTTAGGTAAACAGGTGTGGTGGGGCACGCCTGTAATCCCAGGAGGTAGGGAGGCTGAGGCAGGAGGATGGCAAGTTCAAATCAGCCTGTGCAACTTAGCAAAGTTAAGGACCTCAGCGAGACTACCTTATTTATATATAAAATATAAAAATGGAAAAGAAATATTGCTCAATAATTATTTGGTTTGAGATCAATACCTGGTATCAATTCAAAGGAACAGAAAAACAACAACAACAACAAACAAACAAACAAACCCTTGGCCTACTACTCGACCCAAAGAGCAGTTACACCTCTTAGAATGAAAATTATAGAACACTGAAGAAAGAAATTGAAGAAGACACTAGAATGTGAAAACCCCTTCCATGTTCACGGATAACCAGAATTTAACCAATGCCACATTTCCAAAAGAAATCTACAAATTCAGTGCAATCTCCATCAAATACCAATGAGATTCTTCACAGAAATAGAAGAAATAGTCCCATAATTTTCATGAAAAACAAAAATGCAAAGCCATTTTCAGCAATAAAAATAATGATCAAGGGCTGAGAATGATGCTCAGTGGTAAAGCACTTGACTGGTGTTGCAAAGCACTGGGTCTAATCCCAACACACACACACACACACACACACACACACACATAATGAACAGTGCTGAAGATATCCCATTTTAAATTCTTCACGGTCTCAAATCATACTAAAGTGGTGCAATAACAAAAAAATTGTGCTGCATAAAACAGACATAAAGATCAATTTATTAGAATAGAAAACACAGAGAGAGACAAATCACCCAGATACAATCATCTGATTCATAACAAAGACACCAAAACCTAATATTGGAGAGAACACAGTCTGTTTAATAAATGGTACTAAGAAAACATGTAGAAGAATGAAGCTAAATGCTGCAACAAATTACACTCAAAGTGGATCAGCAAACAGGAATTTGACCCTAAACCCCATAAGTACTAGTAGAAAACATAGTGGTTACACTACAACATACAGGCGCAGGCACAGCTTCCTCCACAAGACTCCTCGTGTTCAGGAAAGAAAACCAAGAATGGATAAAGGAATAGCATCCATCTAAAAAGCTTTTTTACAGCAATGGTAAGGAGACAAGAGAGGGCTGAAAAATTGGGACAAAATCTTTGTCAGCTGCTCTTCTGACAGAGGATTAATATCCAGAATGTATAAAGAACCCAAAAATCTTAACACCAAAACCCAAATAACCGAATCAATGGATGGGTAAATGAACAATCATTTCTCAAAAGGAAAAATATGATGTCCAACAATTTAAGGAAAATAAAAGTCAACATTTTTAATAACTAAAGAAAAGCAAATCCAAGCTACCCTGAGACTGCGTCTCACTCCAGTTAGAATGGCAAATGTCAAGAACACAATTAATGATAATGTGACAAGGATATGAATGAAAAGAAATGCTTACCCACCACAGAGATTGGAGATTAGTACAACCACCATGGAAATCAGTTCAGCACCTCTGAAAAGACTAGGAGTGGGACCACCATATGACCTGGTCACAGGGCTCCTTGGTTTTCATCCAAAAGAATTAAAGTCAGCCACTATAGCAATATGTGACACCCATGTTGATGCCAGTTCAATTCACAGCAGCTTAGTTACAGAGTCAGCCTAGGTGTCCACTGACTGAGGAAGGGGTAAAGAGAATGTGGCACATGCATGTGACGGAGTTTTCCTCAGTCATAAGGAAAAACTGAATTATGTCATTCACAGGAAAATGGATGGAACTGGAGACCAGCATGCTCATTGAAGGAAGCCAGGCTCACAGCGTCAAGGTTGTCTGCTTTCTCTCATACACGGGACGTACACAGAAAAGAGCACAAAAGTCATGCCACACAATTAGGAGAGCAGTGTGGACGCAGATCTGTAGTCACAGAGACTCACCGTGGCCTTGGAGGAACCACTGAAAATATTGATCCAGTGACTCTGGTTTCTTAGGAAGTTTTGTCATGGACCAATGATAGTAAGCTGACACGAGGACATCTTTGGGATTTCTCATGATATATATCACCTTAAATGAAGGAAAATGAGAGAGAGAAAGCAAAAAAAAAAAAAACAGTAATAATCAGTCCTTTCCCACCTTGCTTTTCATCTTTACCCAGGCAGTTCTTACTTAATATCTGCTGAACATCAATGGATTCATTTAATTAATTATTTATAGCATTCATTCATCAAATATACATTTTAGTTTCCCATTATAGGAATAGAAGAGGAAGACCTTGCCTCTTCATTCTAGCACATTAGGTTATCCAACCTGGGAATCTTCAGGAAAGTTCTAGATGGTGTTGGTGAGGCACTTGTGTGCTTTGCCATAATGATCACTAACAGCAGAATGAATTGATCAATGATGGTATATTCACCTTCATAGCAACCCCCAGTCATTCTCACACTCAAGGCCATGGAGGAAGCTCACAGACAGGACATCCATGCAGCACGGATGCCTTATACAAAATTCAGGAATACACCAAAGCAATCTGCAGCTGAAGTGCAGGGGGAGTTTCCCTCAGGTGGTGGGCACTGATGGGTACAAGGAGCCTGGGAACTGTCTGGACAGCAGGAATGTTCTAGTCTGGTCTGGGGGATAGTTGCCTAACTGTGTACATATGTACATATTAAGAGGCTGGTGTTTATTAGCCAGTCACTTCACTCCCAAATTCAGCCTGGGCTAATCTGTGCAATGGCTCACATTCCTGCACCTTAGTGTGGTCTGGTTGTGGCTACATCAACCTAAACTAGTATCTGAGACTCTCAGGTCTCGCCCAACCTACCCAGGGAGCACACACCCCAGCAAGATCTGCAGGAGGCGTTATCTGGGAACAAGGAAGGGGAAAAGCACTGATCAAAATTTGGCACTGACCTTGGCCTTGGAAGTGAAAAAAGACTTAGGGAAGAGATGGAAGGGGAGGTGAGAGGTCAGGAACCGTGGGCCCTCTCTCTCCTTTAACAATTTGTATCCTGAATCTATCTCTAACAAGGGTGCCCGATCCCAGATGGACACAGATCGGATCCATTTGGTATCGCCTTTGGAGTGGATCAGGCAGAGAATTTCAATCAACCAGTGGGTTCCTAGATAAGAAAGTAAAAGTGATGGTCACTCATTTCAACATGACTTGCGAACAAAAAAATGATGGTAAAAATGCATGACACAAACTTTACCATCATACCCATTTGAAGCATGCAGTGGGGTAGTGCTAACCATGTTAAACACCTTTCTGATTTTGCTCTTCCAATGTCCAGATACTTTTCGTCTTCAAAAACTCAAATTCTTGCCTAATTAACAACATTTCCCTAGTCACTCCATATTTCATCCCTGGAACTCACCATGCTTTTTGTTTGAACCCTAGGTATTTTGCTCCATTGCAATCCTACTACTTGTCCTTTTATGCCCATAATATTGCATTGAGCATGACTCCCTCAAGATGGCTCTATATTGTAGAAGGTGTGAGACTATTCTTCCTTGTGAAGGCTGAATTGTATTCCATTGTATTAACACATCACATTTTGTTATGCATTCATCTATGAAAGGATTTTAGGTTTCTTCCACCTCTTGGCTGTTTGCCGAGATCAGTTTTATATGTTCCCCTTTCCCGTGACTTCCCAGCACAGTGCCCCTTCCAAGGACACTGGCCTCAATCCTCGCCCTGTTTGCAATGCCCCTGCCCCCAGGCCCACCACATAGATTTATGATGCATGTCCTTTCAGTCCCTTGAATTTCTCGGGCTCCTGTCTGATTCCCAGCCCTTGTCCATGCGGACCCTCCTGCTCTAAAATCCCCTCTTCACCCCGTGGCCTCCCACTCCCTCTTTCATTTCTATGGAGCTGATATTTCACCCTTAAGTGCTCACTGATCACTCTCTGCCACCCCTTCTCCCAGGCCACCACACAGATGCCTGGATGTCATTAGGATTCACTCCTGTATCTCCCTGCAGTAGCTTAGATGACCCCTGCTGAGCACTTATGTCACTGTGTCCTAGTCTGAATGGTGGTGGCCTGGGGCACTGCCCCTTCCTCCCCCAAGCAGGGCTCACTGGCTGTAGAGGTCATGAACTCCATCTGCTGAGCAGGGGAGGAACACAGCCCTCGCCTTTCTCCTGGACAGTTCCTTTCTAGTTTCCTTACCTGACTTAGGGTATGACACCAAAACTGTATCTTCATCCTTTATCACAAATTTAGTACATGCTTCTTTTAGGCCTTCATAGCTGTAATCGATAGAAGGGAAAGGTAACCCTTCAAACCACAGGTAGCCATCTGTCATGATGATGATTCCTCTGTGCCTGGTGCTGAGGTTCACACCATTGGACCTTGTGGGAGATACTGAGAGACTAGACTTTGAGTCCAGTCTTATTTTAACGAAATTAAAAAAAATCATTGAAGATTCAAAAGAATCATTAACATTATTGGTGTCAAATTAACTGGTTATAAAACAAATGGTGACTGGCAGTCCAAAGTTTCATTGTGTTGATCAGTTTTGGACTCATTCAGAGAACATGAGCCTCGTGACCTCAACATGATCTCACGACAGGACGCCTTGGCAATGCTGCAAAATAACCCCACTGATGAATCCCCGAGACCTGAGAAAGCCACTCTTTCTCACTTATTTGCATTTGAAGAGTTTTCAAAGTAGAATTTTTACATGCAACCGACTGATACAGTGTATAAATAATAGCCTGGAAGCAGACAGAGGGACAGTGGACTGAAGACTCTCAGGCTAAAGGGCAGGAACCTGCTTCAGAGTCAGCAGATAGGAGGGTGGACTGTCACTGACTCCAGGGTCCAGTCCTCCCTTTCCTTCTGATTAACCTGTGGGAGTGGGCTGCAGGCTGTCAGTGTTTAGGGGCCGAGATGAGAGAATCTTCATATCTACCACATCAAGGGTCCGTCAAAGCTCTGCCTCATCCTTGGTCGAGCACTCTCAGTGCCAGGGGACTCGGAGACCAACAGCTCCACATAGTCAAGCAACACGCCCATCCAGGGGGCCCATAATTCCAGGAATGCTTCAGGATGCACCTACATCTTTGTCAGTCCCCATGGTCTTCTGTCAGTAAAATGAAAACCGTCTAAGAAATGTAAGCCCCACATTGAAGGCAACAGTGTTTCATGTAGAATGTATGATAACCAGGAGCAAAAACATTGCCACTTTTCCTGTTAATTCTTGGGTGTATCAATAGACTAAGCGCCTGTGTATGACACCAGGAGCTGTTCATCCTGACCCTAAACCTCAGGTGGCCACAGACTGCTGTGTGTGTCTGGGAGAGAATGACCAACAACTGGGCATGAGTAGTATTCTGGCTGAAGGAAAAGTGGATCCAATTAGGCAACGTTGCAGAGGGGGACCTGTTGTCTGACAGAATAATATGCACATGAAGAAAAGGAGCTACCTTTTTTAAATTTAATGATTTATATTTAAACCTTTTCTTTTCCTTGTGTATTTATTTTGTGTGGGGCTCAGGATTCAACCCAGGCCTTACACATGTTAGACAAGTGCTTCTCCAGGGCGTCACAAGCCCAGCCACAAGAGCGACCTTTTTTAAAAGGGGAAACCGTTTCATGAATCTTGTTTTATTCTTACTATTGTCAGATAATTTTAGAGAAATATGTCACGTTCACAGTGACCCTGTCACACTGTGAATGTCCAACAGTAATGGAGGGCTGACACGTCTCTGTAGCATTCTGAACACCTAATACCTGTGACCCGTTACAGCATCCCACCAACCTATGAAACGAATGAGGCCGTCCTGAGCCCACCCCCCGACAGTGTCAAATGCTTGACTTTCCTATGCTCCTGTTAGTGCACTGGGGTTCAACATTGCAGTGGGGTTCATTCTAACATAACCATTCAGACATGGAGTTTAACTCCCTCCCATTCTGTGCCCAGTGACTATGCCCTCCGTCCCCACTTTTCCTCCTCTACCTACTAGTATCTATTTATGTATTCATGCGTTATCAATATGCATGAAGGTGAACCCACTGTGGGGTATTTATACATGCTCATGGCATGATTTTATCCATTTCATTCTGCACTTGCTTGCCCTTCCACCC